GTTTTTTCACCATAGTTGGCTAAATGTCCTTGTACCATTAAATAAATGATCCATCTTTCCCCTATTTATTTGAAATGCTACCTTAATATTTTCTTTGAGTATGTCTGAGGTGACAGACAGCTCAAAACATTTATTTAAAAAGAATAATGTTTTATGTAATTAGTATTTAAGCTTATAGTTTGATTGATGTAGTGGAAAGAAATAAAATGATTGATTCCAATATTATGAACAAGGTTTGTTGGAACTTTCAAAATTAGGTAAGTTAGAAAAATATTGTTGCTTTATTTTCAAGTAGAAGGTAGCAATTTTTTAGCTGTATTTGAGGATTTTATCTTTTCTTTGCATTTCCCTTTTTGCCATCTACAGATTTTCCAGCTGATTTCATATTTTGCATATTTTGACATATTTGCCATTGAGGAAAGAACTCCTGACAGGCAGTTTTAAATGTAAATATTAGGATTAACAAAATGAGGGATTATGTATTAAAGATTCGAGGAGGAATGCATAGCTTTAAGATTTTAAACTACTCACAAAGCCCATGGTTGGAATACTGGACTGAACTGTATTCCCTGCCACCATAAAAAAAGATACATTTTAGTCCCAACCACCGTATCTCAGAATGTGACTTCATTTACAAATAGGGCCACTGTAGATGTCATTATTTAAATTTAAAAGGGTCATGATGGGGTAGAGTAGGCCCTTGACCTAATATGACAATGTCCTTATAAGATGACCAAGGGAAGACAGACACAGGAGGGGAGTGAACACCATCCCATGATGAAGGTAGAGATTGGAGATATGCAGTTGTGAGCCAGGAACACTTTATATACTTACTCTGTGTTACACTAGACCAATATTCAAGCTGGCTGGGAAATCCCTAGAAGCTGGAAAGACAGGAAGTATTCCTTGGCGGGTTTCCGAGGTGTGTGGCTCTGCAGACACCTTCATTTGGCGGGTAGAGCTACCCAGCCGGTGCTGCTTTGTTGTGGCAGCCATAGGATACTAATGTAGCCCCAGTGAGAATTAATGGCCTCATGGTTTCTGATACCAAAGTGCCTTGAACATCTTTTATTATTATTATTATTATTACTATTTATTATTATTTTGTACCAGGAATCAAACTCAGGGCCTCGCACTGCCAGGCAGGCACTGTGCTGCTAAGCTACATCCCCAGCCCTGTATCTTTGATCTTTTGCTAAATTTTAAACACTTGCAGGAGAATGATATAACTAGAATATGATGTGATACTTGCTAAATGCAGCCCAATGGTTCCATATAATGTATGTAAAAGTTGAGCAAGTCCCTATAAAACCAAAGTCAGAAAAATACAATTAAGCGTATAGACTCTTAAAGCCATATGTCTGAGAGCTCAGCCCTCTTCTGCCACTCATTAGGTCTGTGAATTTCAGTAAGTTATTTAACACTTTGGGGTCTTTGTTCCCTCATCATTAAAATAAAATATCAACCTCATCAGGTTGGTGTGAGGCAATGCCTATAAAAATGCTTAGAATAGCACCTGACACAAAGTACATAATGATTTTTTCCACATTTTGTCCTCTTCCTTCCTTCCTTTTCCCTTCCTTCCTTCCTTCCTCTTCCTCCTACTCTTCTTCTTCCTTTTCTCCTATGTCACTATAATTAATACTGTAGATGATGTACACATACCAGTTCCCCACAGTGAATATATTCATTGCGTACTGCAGACATGTACTAATCAAAACATGTATATAGATATAGATATAAATATATAGGTAGATAAGATAGATTTCTTACTAGACACTCCTTTGAACATCCAGTGTAATACAGCCATTTTCAATGGCAGTTTGGCCATATGTCAAGACTGTGGCCCTGGTAGGTGTCCTTGGTTATCATGATGTCTTCTTGCAGGATGCTATGGAATGAATTTTTCCCCCTCCCTCTCACCAAAATCTTATGCTGGAGCCCTAATTCTCAATGTGACTGGTTTTGGAGATAGTTCTTTATGAGAAAAGTATGGTTAAAGATATCATAAGAGAAGAGCCCTAATGCAGAAGTTCTGTGACCCTTTCAGACAAGGAGAGATAGCCTTTTCCATGGCATGCAAGGAGGACAGGTCGGGGCTGGGGATTTAGCTCAGCGGCAAAACGCGCCTGCCTGGCAAGTGTAAGGTCGTGAGTTCGGTTCCCGGTACCGGAGAAAAACCCAAAAAAAAAAAAAAAAAAAGGAGGACGGGTCATGTAAGCAGCAGCGAGAAGGGGGCTGTCTAGAAGCCAGGAAGAGAGCTCTCAATAGGAACTGACCATGCCAGCACCTAATTTTGGACTTCTCAGCCTTCAGAACTTTGAGAAAATACAATTTTATTATTTAAAGACCCAGTCTACGGTATTTTGTTATGACAGTCGAAACTGAACAAGGCACAGGTTCAGCCATCAAAGTGTTAAATACAGCAGTGCCTCGGTTCACGAAGGCTTTTGTTGGTGAACAATTTGGTTCACAAAAGAGTTTGGTAAAATTTTCTTTTGTTTGCAAACTCTGCATTGCATGACAAACACAACCACAGCCATCTTTTCCACAGCAAGACAAATGTAGCCATCTTTTCCAAAATCATAGAGTAAATTAAGTACATGAACTGAGGCAGCATCGCGTACGTTTCTCATATTTGGCAAATAGTTATGTGGATTTGCCTCTTTGGCTGTCTCCTCCTTGCCTAGCACAGCTCCAACTTTGGAGTGCTGCAGGGCCCTACATAGTCTTTACTATATTTACATCCTTTCCCTGGGTCTTCTGTCTTAATTGGTCTCAAGTCTTTATGTACTATGCACTGTGGCATGAAAATGTCTCCTTCAAAATTTGTGTGAAACATAATGCCCAATGCAACATTATTAAGAGGTGGAGATTTTAGGAGGTAATTAGGCAATGGGAGTTCTGCTCTTATAAATGACATTAGTGGCTTATTAAAGGCACAGTCCTTATTAAAGGGCTGGGGGGAACTAGCTAGGCCCTTTTTGCCTTCCCTATTCTGAGAATGTGAGGATGACAGACTGAAAAGATGCCATTGATGGAAAAGATGCCATTGATGGAATGCCACTGATGCACAAAACATTGAACGTGCTGGTCCTTTGATCTTGGACTTCCCAAGATCTATGAAGGATAAATTTCTACTATTTATAAATTACCCAGTCTATGGTATTTTGTTATAGTAGCATGAACTAAGATATCATGTATATATGATGATACACAAATCTATTCCTTTTTTATTTTAAAAATAAAAGAACAAAAACATTAACAAACACACATACATTTATAAAATAACACAAAAACAATACAAGCAATACTGAATTTCAGACAAGGTGACAGGAAATTAACAGTGGTTATTGTATTACATAGTGATATCTTCAAAGTGGTTACTCAGGAAAACAAGAGACATGTAAGATTGATCCAATAATTAATCATTAACTGTTCCTTTCAATAAAGCGATAGAAGTCAGTAGTACAACTATGCTAGCTATCCTACATACACATATATACATAATTTTCCCCTTCTTTCTTTTCTCTTTTCCCTCATCCCAGTTCCTCTTTACTTTTGAGCAGTTTCCCTTTGTTAAACAATGTCTGTCATACCTCCTAATTTTTATTCACTCTTTCAGGTTCTTACACTATTGAGACAATACATTGTTTACGCACGCGGGTCTGACTTATTTCACTTATGAGTATGGTCTCTAGCTGCAACCATTTACCTATAAAAGCCTCGAGTTTATCTTTTTTTATAGCTGAGTAATATTCCATTATATAAAAATACCACAACTTTTTTATCCATTCCTCAGTGGATGGGCATTTGGGTTGCTTCCATGGTTTAGCTATTACAAATTGTGCTGGTATAAACATGGGTGCACATATATCACTGTGATATGATGTTTTCCATTCTTCTGGGAAAATACCCAGAAGGGGAATAGCTGGGTTGAATGGAACCTCCAGTCCTAGTTTGCTGAGGAATCTCCAAACTGATTTCCACAGTGGTTTCACCAGTCTGCATTTCCACCAGCAGTGGAGAAGAGTTCCTATTTCTCCACAGCCTTTCCAGGATTTGTTATTGGTTGATTTCTTAATGATAGCCATTCCTGCTGAGTTGAGATGAAATCTCAGTGTTGTTTTAATTTGCATTTCTCGAATGACTAATGACGTTGAACATTTTCTCGTGTATGTATTTGCCATTTGTATTTCTTTATCTGAGAAGTGTGGATATACAAATCTATTACTTATCTCTTCCTTCAGCTATATAGGCTCATGTGTCTAACTGCCTTCTTGCCTCCTCCACTTGAATAAATAATAGGCATTTAAAATATTAAAAAATCTAAAACAAACCTTTCATTGAAATATTTGTTCTTTCTGGCCCATCATACCTCATCCATGCTAACACTTTATGCTGAAAATCACCTTTCATTTTGTTTCTCCTCTACCCACACCCAATCAATCAGCAAGTATTGTCATTATCAGGTTTATTTCCAAATTAGGTGTTTATGGCATTCCTATCTTTCAGTTCTGCTTGGTTATTTGTTGTTAGATTTGTTGGAGTATAATTCACATGGATTAAAATCTGCCAGTTCAATCTTTGTTAAGGTATATGGTGCAGTAACTTCTGACCAACATATACAATCATGTGACCATCACAATCAGGACACACAACACTTCCTTTACCCATAGTTAAATTTTAAAGTGTAAGTTGAGCCATACCAACTCTTTTCGTAGAAAACCTTCAGTGACTTTCTTCTGAATCACAATAAAATCTGAGTTCCCTGTGAGGGTCCTACAAAGCTCACTTCTGTTTACTCTGAACTCCCTGAGTCACAAGTCCTCTCACTCCTCACGGCCTCTATCTGTATTTCAATCCACTTCACAGATACTCAACTTGCTTTTCCCATCATCTGGAATTACCTCCTCTCACACTCCAAGCATATCACTTTTTCTGCCCTCACACAAGGTAGCCGGCAACAAATGACACAAGGCCAGGACCACGCAACAGGCTTTGGTGAAAGCAGCAAGGCATAAGATTTAATATACCCAGGTGCAGGCAGATGGGTGAAAAGATCATCTATGGGGAACAAAGAAACGTGGGTTTTTAAAATAGGACTTGAAAAAGGGGAGATCTGGCAAGGGACATTATATGAGAGGGTCTGAGCAAGTATCGGTGGTCAAAGTTTTCAGAGTGTCCCGTCCATCAGTGGTCAAAGTCCTCAGTGTCTGGTACAAGTGTATGGATGTTATCAGATGTCCTGGTACTGGGAAGATTCCATGCTCTGCCTTATTTCTTCTTTACGACATCCTGTATTTTCCGAGATCAGCAGTACCTGTGCTGAGCTGTGGTTTATTCTGAAAACAACATGGCTGCTGATGAACAGGTTGTGTGCTAGGAAAGTCATGCCTGAGTCAAGCCTGAGATAGGCCTTGCCTCAACTCAAGTATGTTATCAATATTATCCTGTTTACTTGTCACAGTTTGGAATGATTTTGTTATGTTTGCTTATTTATGTCTTGGGCCACCAGAATGTGACACAAAGGTAGAGGCCTTGTCCATCTTAGATAACACGATCCTTCCAGTTCTCTGGATGTCACCTACAACACAGAGGGCCATTTGGATTTGCCAACACAAGAGGATGTTTGACCTGCAAAGTGACAATTTCATGTGATTCATGACTTACTGAATAAATAAATTAGCTGAAATTTTGAGTTGCTGCCACCAGGAGGCAATAGACAATTATACTTAAATGCTGTTAGCTTGTTCTGAGTTCACTTGTCTTTTTAATCCTAAATTGCGTCCAGAAGTACTGCTGTAGTTTTCCAAAATTTAACTTACTTTTATTGAAACATTTTACATACCATAAAATCTACCCATTTAAAATGCACAATTGATGAGTTTGGACAAATATAAATTGTCAAGTTATCACCGTCATCACAATATAGAATACTATTTCTATCATACCAAAAAACCTTTTACTTGTCCCCATTAGACCATCTATGCCATATAGCCCCTGCTTACCTATGATTGGCTTGCTGGCATATAGTTTTGCTTTATTTTAGAATTTTCTTTTGGTACATTTCACTTAACTGGGATCATATGTGCAGCTTCTTATTTTCAGCTTCTTTCACTTAGCATAATGCATTTGAGATTAATCCACATGTTTTGTCTGTAGTTTATTCCTGGCTAACCTTGAAATCTTCCTGTCTTTAGGAGTGGGATCTCATGGACCTCCTTGAGCTTCTCAGAATGTAGATGGTTTTTGCTGCAGTGAGTTTGATAGTACCTTAAGGCAGTACTGCAGGATGGTTGAAAAAGCCCTCTCTTGGCAGGACTGATTGACAGAGACGCTGGTTATGCTATTTGCCTCTGAGGGACTTTGGATGAGCTGTTTGGCCTTACCCTGTTTTCTCAGCTCCAGTAGGGATGCCATCAGACTATTTGCCTCAGGGTTGCTTGAGGATCATGTTGGTTAATACTGTGAAATGCTTAGTGCAGAGCCTGGTGCACAGAAAATGTCCAGTACATGGCATCTCAACTAACGTGTTGGTGCTACAGGAAAGCCAGCCTCTCAAACATGTTTCTGTCTTTTCTTTTTTTATGAAAGCTTTTGCGCAACTTGTCAATCCCTAAGTGGCAAAGCTCTAGGATGGAAAAGAAGACTTGGATGGAGGATTCCTTTAGCTTCTGAGAATTAAACCTTATATTTTCCTCAATCTAAACAGATTTCCATGCACAGCTTCTTTTACCATTTTTTTTCTTTCCTCTCTGATAAATACATGACTCTGAACTTTTTTCTCCAATTGCTTATTTACATACAGTGCTAAGGGAGGGTGTGAATTTAATGTCCCCTAGCAACTGGCCTTCAGATATCAAGTTTAAATTCCCTACAGCAAAACAGCAGATTGAACACATTTGCTTCATCTGGTGATACAATTAATATAGCATTGGATGGCTACTATTTTTTACTCAACTTCCCCAGGAATTCCTCTGGTAGAAAAGTTGATGGGATTCCTGAAAATTCCACCTCTCTTGTTTTGATGATATGAACTCTCTGCCCTCCATCTTGCTGACCATCCCTCCTATATGTACTTCCAACACTTTTTATTCAAGTGTCACAAACGTGTCTCACCACTGATCCCTTCATTCCAGTTCACCATTCTATTCCTATCCTGGCTTGGGTACCTTTTTCTGATACTGGGTGTGGAGCAATGGACCCTGCAGAAATTGAGAAGATCAACTATACTTACTGTGAGAACTTGTATTCTAATAAGGTGGAAAATGCAGAAGAAATAGACAGATTCCTAGACACATATGAATTACCAAAGCTAAATGAAGAAGATATAAAAATTCTAAATAACCCAATATCAATCAATGAAATTGAAGATGTAACTAAAAACCTAACAACAAACAAAAGCCCAGGTCAAGACAGATTCATTGCTGAATTCTACAAGAAATGTAGACAAGATTTAATACCACTACTTCTCAAACTCTTTAATAAAATTGAAAGGGAAGTAATACTCCCAAATTCATTCCTGGAAGCAAGCATTACTCTGACACCAAAACCAGAGAAGGACCTAATCAAGAAAGAGAACTACAGGCCAATTTCCCTAAAGAACATAGATGCAAAAATCTTCAATAAGAAACTAGCTACAGAGTGCAACAAATCATCAAGAAAATTATACACTATGACCAAATAGGATTCATCCCAGGGACGCAGGGATGGTTTGACATACACAAATCAATAAATGTAATACAAAATATTAACAGAGACAAGGACAAAAATCATATTATCATCTCAATAGATGTAGAAAAAGCTTTTGACAAGTCCAACACCTATTCATGATAAAAACTCTACAGAAATTTGCAATAGATTGTCTTAATCTGATAAAAAGCCATCTAAGACAAACCAACAGTCAACATCATACTAAATGGACAAAAATTGAAAGCTTTCACTCTAAAATCAGGAACATCCACTGTCACCACTCCTATTCAGTACAGTTATACAAACTTTACACAGAGCAATTAGACAAGAAAAAGAAATAAAAAGAATAATAGGAAAGAAAAAACTTAAATAATCATTATTCATAGATGACATGATACTCTACATAGAATATGCCAAAAACTGCACTAAGAGATTTAAGAATTACATTTAGATTTAAGAAACAAATTCAGTAGTGTAGCTGGATACAAAGTCAACACTCAAAAATCAGTAGCCTTCCTGTACACAATAACAAAGTCACTGAGAGAGAAACTAAGGAAACAACACCATTCATAATAGAATGCAAAAAAAAAAAAAAAAAACCAAAAACCTAGCATTCAATCTAACAAGGGAAGTAAAAGACCTCTACATTGAACACTACAGTACTCTGAAAAAGGATACTGAAGAGGGCATCAAAAAATGGAAAGCTATCCTTTGCTCTTGGGTAGGAAAAATCAATATAGTGAAAATGGCCATACTTCCAAAATTGTTACACAGATTTAATGCAATTCTGGTCAAAATCCAAGAGCATATGTTACAGAAAACAATCCTAAAGTTCATTTGGAACAAGAAGAAACCTAGACTAGCAAAGGCAGTTCTGGGCAACAAAGGCAAGGAGGCATCACAATCCTAGACTTGAAATTATACTACAAAGCTACTGTGATTAAAAAACAGCATGGTACTGGGAAAAAAAAAAAAACCAGATCTGAGGATCAGTGGAACACATCAGAAGATGCAGAAACAACTCCAGACATACTCAGCTACCTTATCTTTGACAAAAGTTCTAAACATATTCACTGGATGGAAGATAGTCTCTTTAATAAATAGTGCTAGGAAAATTGGCTTTCTACATGCTGAAGGACAAAATTAGATCCTTCACCATGCACTAAACTAAAATTGAAATGGATCAAAGGTCTTAATATTAAAACGAAAACATTAAAACTAGTGCAAGATTGAATGGGTAGAACTCTTGAAGACCATCCTAGGGGAAAAGACTTTATGAACAAAACCACAGGGCCATAGGAACTATCAAAAAGAATCAACAACTGGAAACTCATTTTACGGAAAAGAATTTTCAGAGCAAGACAAACTGTAAACTACATGAAGATAAAACACACAGTGTGAGAAAAAATGTTTGCCAGCAGCTACTCAAAAGATTACTATCAAGAACATATAAAGAACTAAAAAATATCAGAATATCAAAATTTAAAGAACCAATCCTAAAATGGTTACTTGAGATGGACACAAACATATTAGATGAAGAAATGCAAAAAGAAAATGAATATAAAAAAAATATTCAACAAAACTGGTCATTTGAGAGATGCGAATTAAAACAAATGAGATTCTATGGAACCCAAGAGAGAATGGCTATCATCAAGATACCAACCAGTAACAAATGCTGGGGAGCTGTGGGGAGAAAAGAACGCTTCTCCACTGTCTCGGTTACTTTTCTCTCGTTGCTGAGACAGAATACCCAATGCCCAAAATTAAGGAATGAAAAGTTTATTTAGCTTATAGTCTGTGGAGGTTTCAGTCTATACCTGGCTGGCTCTGAGGCAGAAGATAGCAAAGCAACAAGAGCGAAGGAGGGAATGGCAGCTGAACAGCAATGCAGCCAGAGCAAAAGGGAGGAATGGCCGGCAAGCAGCCTATTTACCCCCTTACATTGCAAACAGACTACCCCACCTAAGGGGTGTGTAGCTCTCACATAATCTCCCTGCCCTCCTCTTCCACAGGCCCAGGATGAATACAAGGTAAGAACCCTGGCTTCCTGCTTATCACTTAACCAAGCCTCTAGACTCCACAAGTTGACACAATCCTATCAACCATAACATTCCCTGTTGGTGTGAGGGTAGACTGTGGCAATCACTGTGGAAATCATGGTACAGATTCCTCAAAAGACTAAGACTACAGGTTTCATTTAACAGAGCAATTCCTCTCCTTGGGGTCTGCCTGAAAGATACAAAAGCACATACTTAGCACAGCAATATATGCAAACAGGGATCTATGAACACAACGATCTGTGCCATCCATACTGGCACAGTTTGTAGTAGCCAATCTTGGAAACAGCCCAAATGTGCGGAAGAATGGTCATGGCCGCTTCACAGTTCACGGTAAACCCTGGAAACAGAAAAATGGCCACCAGCAAATGAGGGCTTGAACAAGTTGTGCTTCATCCACACAATGGCATGGGATGGTTCTGGTACGAACAAGCAAGCACAGCTGGAGCTGAGCTTCAAGAAGACTCACCAAGCAATATTGCTACTGAACCTCTACAACATGCAAACGATCCAGAAGTAGGGACACAGAGCACACGGTCTGTCTGGGAGCATGGGATGGGAGGACAGGAAGTGATAGCTCTGGCCACAAGAATGTGTACAAGGCTCCTTCATCAGCAGGGGGTGATGATATCCACAGCCTTGCAAAGACCTCGCCTGGCACTCATTGCCTGCTGTCCCTCTTCATAGGGTGTAATGGTACTGAGTACTACGGTGTGTGACTAAGTTCAGTAACTATGTGTAAATAAGTAATCACTCCAATGCATCTGAAAGGTAAAACCTGCTTTGAATCCTCCACGTGTAGATAGGCAGTGATTATAATTGTAGACTTTTACATTTAGGAAGAAAAATTATTCTGGACATTTGTGGTTTATCACAACACTCCCTATTGGAACTGCAAGAAAACTGACACCAACCCATGAAAAAAGTCCTCCTAAATTTGGACAGATCACTAAGAAATGATGTTGAGCACCGCACCTTCACAGAAAATGGACCCTCTGGAAGGAAGAACACACTTCACGACGTGCCTGCCACATCTTAGGTATCTACACAGTGGCTGCACTAAAACTTCAAAGTTCACCAGAGTCTAAAATCACACTCAGGGGCTGGGGATTTAGCTCAGCAGCACAGCACCTGTGTGGCAAGAACGACTTCGTGAGTTCGATTCCTGGTACCAGAAAAAAACAAAAAACAAACAAAGAAACAAAAAAAAATACAAAAATACAAAAAATACAAAATAAAAAACTAAAATCACACTCAGACTCTCTAGTTCTTCATTGCTGTTTCGAAGGAGCACACAGATTTGCTCCAACACAAACAGAAAGACAGGTGGTAGTCTTCTTATGCCGGGGGGGGGGGGGCTCCGCTATGGCCCCCAACACACGACCTCACTTCCTTGGCGACAGATCCAAACAGAACTTAGAACCCTGTGGGCACTAGGCACCATAGGTTAGTGCCAACTGCCTTCCCAGGCACTTAGCTGGACACAGGCAGTAGTAGAAATGCTGTGTTGCTTTCCCAGGCCTCGAGGCACCAGCCTCAGGACCCCGCGCAGGGAAACCGTGTGGCAACGAGTAAGAGGATGGTTCACTCAGCCCAGACGCTTCAGGACACTCACCAGGAAGCGCCCAACGGTCATGGGCCACACAGGGCAGGGCTCTGCGGACCCAGGCCCCAAGTACCCAGAGACAAATGGGAGCCCAGGACGGGTGTCCCTACAACTAGCGGTCATCTGCACGGAGCCTCCGAGTCCGGTACAGGTCTGTCTGGACCTGACCAACACTGTGAGTTCCCTGCAAAATTTGAACACTTCATCCTCAGTGTGTTTGGGGGTGAGGGAGGGGGACAGTTTCCTGCTTGAAGTCAACCTGGACAGGCCCACGAGTTGCCGGGCCCAGAGCCCGGGGTCCCGTCACAGTCCCCCCGAAGAGAGGGCTGGCAGGACGAGGAAGGCAGTGCTCAGTGTTAATGCAAAGCCGGCAGAGTCATCTCCTGTCCTCCAGAAGTGGCAGCCTGTGACAGGGCTGACTGGGATGTGGGGAGCACAAGGTGATCAGGGGCAAGAGAGGGGGCAGATACTGCTCAGGCAGAGCCTCATGCTTCCTGCCAGCTACTGGGCACTGTCCCAACAGAGCTGCACACAGGACACCGGTGTGGAGCAGGTCCCTGTGGGCCTGCAGTGTCCCTGCACCACACACGGGGACGCAGTCACAGCACATGCCAGCTCAAGCGCAGCTGCTGTGTGTGTGTGTGTGTGTGTGTGTGTGTGTGTGTGAGTAGAGGGCCCAGGGAGGGCAGAGAAACCTGGGCAGCCAGATGACACCTCCAGTACCTCCTTCTAGGAGTGGAAAACAAAGCACCTCTCGTCTTGCTCCCAAAGGAATCTGGGGTTTATGTCTTCAACAACTACATGCTGTGTGCTTAGGCTCTTCCTCAGCCAGCTACAAGGTCACTGCGCAAGCTGGGAGCATTAGAAGAGGGACAGGGACAGTAAGTCTCTGGACTTCCTGCCATGACTGATTTCTATTTCATCCTGGAATTGCTGAACCCAGGATCTGTGGGGCATCTGCCTGAATGTCCTTCCACCCTGTCTCCAGCTCTGTACACGTTACCCATTGGCATGGGTGTGCTCACCCAAACCGTCAGACCTTTGCCACTTTGTCCTTTTCTCTGGCACCTGCTGTCCCCTAGAACCCACGCGGGCCCTGTAGATCACAGGGTGGGGCCTCCCTCACTTTGGCTAAATGATCTTCTATCGGGCTGGCAGTGAACTAAGCCACTCTGCCTTGCTAGGCGAAGGAAGACTGACCTGACCCTTTCTGGGGACTTCTCAGCAGAAACCTCTGCAACATTCTGTGTGA